CAGCCTGTGTGATCATGAGGTGTCGATGGATCAGGGGTCAGGCATCAAAGACCCAGAACAGAAACTCATATCATTGTGAATGAGGGGGAGTGCAGAGTGGAAACCCAAAGCTCATGTGTAGACACTTGGACATCCCCATACAGAAGGGTTGCAGGGAGGAGACAAGCCAGTCAGGGTGCAGTCTAGCACCAATGAAACATATAACTTTCCTCTAGTTCTTTAATGCTTCCTCCCCATCCCCCACCCCACTATCAAGACCCCAATTCTACCTTACAAATCTGACTAAACCAGAGCATGTACACAGGTCCAGATAAGAGCTGGAAACACAGGGAATCCAGGACAGATAAACTCCTTAGGATCATAATGAGAGTAGTGATACCAGGAGGAGAAGGGGAAGGTGGGGGGAGAAAGAGAGAACAGATCACAACAATCTGCATATAACCATGGAGATTATATGTTGTCCTCCAGGGGCGGTGGACAATAGAAAAGTGGGGGAAGGAAGACAGCGGTTGGTGTAAGACATGAAAAATTAATAATAACTTATAAATTATGGGTTCATGAGATGGGGAGTGGGGGGTGGGATGAGCTGATACCAAGGGCTCAAGTAGAAAGAAAATGTTTAGAAAATGATGATGGCAGCATATGTACAAATGTGCTTGACACAATGGATGGATGGATGGATTGTGATAAGGGCTTAAGAGCCCTCAATAAAATTATTTTTTTAAATTTGTGACGCTGAAGGAGAAGAAAAGTTAGTTGATTTCCATCTCCACTGTGAGGACATCACAATGTCGACATGAGCAGATACTTGGGTCTGAGTCCCCAGAACCAGTGCCTGGTGTCCTCTGAGACCCTTGACTTTGTCTGCATCTTGATCCCTTCAGGGAGGCGGGAGCTGTGAGAACAGCACAACCTGGAGACCTGGCTCAGCCCCAGCTCAAAGCTGTGAGCACTGAGCAGGGCCCTACATCTGTTGTCAAGTGGTGACAACGGTGCCAGTGGGAGGTGTAGTTCTAGATGTCATGAAGATTAAATTCAAAAAGCAACTAGATGTAAAAGCATCTGAAACAAGCCAATGCATGAGTCCCCTCTGTGATGTTATCAGACATTTGGCCTCTGAATTGCAAGCATTCCATCTCCCTCCACCCATGACCCCAGGCTAAACAAGTCTCACACAGAGACCTAGGCTGCACTCAGTGCAGGCTCCAAGGGGTGTGCTCACTGTAAGAAATAGAAGGAAAGTTCTCTTGGAATAGCCCTTGGAAGGGGACCTAGACCTTCTATGTTGTTATTTCTGTTAGTTGCCATTGAATTGCCTCCACCTCAGGGCGGCCCCATTTATAACAGAACGAAATATTACCCATTCCTACACTCCTGGATCTTTGATCTGTTTCCTTTTTGACCCTTTAAAGAAGACAGCTGCATATGTGCCCCGAACAGCACTTGATTTCTTGACTGCTCCTGCCACGGACACTGACTATTGATCCAAATAGGATGAAATCTTTGACAACTTCAATTTTTCCCTCCATTTCAAATGATTTTGTTTATTGGTACCACATTTTCTACAGCATCTTCATAATACATGCTTGAACCTATTTTTCCTTTCTTAGAATCACAACAACTGTTGGATGTAACATGGATTTGTCGAAATACCCCATGGACACACAGACGTGCAAATTGCAGCTGGAAAGCTGTGAGTATAGAACCCAGGGGCTTCGGGGTGACTCTCCTGTTGGCTTAGTTTTATGGTATCAAAACTTTTCTTTTTTAAAAATAGTTTTATTGGCACTTGATCTACATATCATATAATTCGATAGTTCAATCATACCACCAAGAGTTGTACAATCATTGCCACAATCCATTTTAGAACATTTTCTTTTTGCTTGCACTCATTGTTATTTGTGTAATTATTTTCTTAATTGTGGCAAACATATACACAACAAAACATTCTCCAATTCAACAATTTATACATGTATCACCTTTGATTATATTCTTCATGTTGGGCAGCCATTATTGACATACTTTTCCAAATTATTCCACCATCATTGGCATAAACACAATGTCCCCTAAGCAAAAACTCTCCCTCCTTCACCCATGGTAACCATGGGTCAAGTTTTTTATCTTTTTATCCCTTAGCAGTTTTCTTCATATCATACACTTCCATATACATCATCATACCAGTTCTAATGCTCCTTCCCCTCTCCCACATTCATTGATTGTTCCCCAGTTCCCCTTAGACTCCCCAACTCTCCATCCCCAATAAATTACTGCATCATTATTGTCTCTAGGTAACCCCTCCTTCTGTGCTTCACAAATTGGGACATCTAAGAGAAAACAAAACAAAACAGAAAGAAGAAAATAATTATATAAAGATAAAAATAAAGAATAAGAAAGCAAAGACCACCAACAATATTTTAAAAGTCAGAGAAGAAATTTCTGTCGTGAAAGAAACAAGAAATATTTTAGTCTAGAGAAAATTCAGGTTGGGTCAAGAGAGAGGTCAACTGACCAAGTATCATATTATACCATGGTTTAATCCACCATAATAATCAAGCTTACAACAATCTCTGTCTGATAATAAAGCTGTACGATTCTCTCACCTGTAGCTAGAGGGGATCTGCCAGAGGCTTAATCTGACTAGACACTCTGCAGATGGATTTTGGGCTCCCACTGCCCTCCATAGCCTTCTACAAAATGAGTATTCACAATTTAAGCTCTGATACTTTTCACTTCATCAAAGTTGGATTTTGTTATCATCATCTTTGGATCACACAGGCTGGTATGCTTCTTTGATATGGACTTAATTGACACCTCACTTAGATGGCTGCTTGTTTGACTGTAAACCTGTAAGACCACAGACACTATTCCAATGGGTAGGTGGGCACATTCTGCTTTCTTCACCACACTTTGCTGTAACACCCTAATGACCGCGAAGGTGAGTATCCAGCAGGGTCATGTCATAAGAAGTAACTGTTTTGGATTGGGGCTAGAACTACATGGAAACTCAGAATCCATCTGCTTGTCCATGGGTTATGAACAGCTCTGTTTGACTTTGGCGGTCATATTATGACAACAAAAACCAACATGAACAACAAGAAAAAACAAACAAAAGCCCCAAGAGAGAAAGAAACACAAATGAAAAAAATTGTCAAACATCCCCCTGGCATATAAAGCGATTGTATTGATGATATCAATAATTTATCCAATGGCACGGAATTTAAGGTCCTGTTGATTTTATGAAAGTATAGTACAACTGTGAGTTTTAATCCATGAATTGTTTACTTCTACAGATTGATTTTTTAATTGATTGAACTCTGTTTATATTGAGCACAGGGATTGGTACTAGGAGAAATTTTACTGTATTATTTTTCACAAGGGCAGATCATTACCTATAAGATTACTGTCATATTAATACAAGGGGAACACCAAAGTACTAAATATATGGTGGTTCTGGGTCACCTTGGTTCTGGGTCACCTTTCATTGGACACCCACTAAGCTAGGAGACCCACCTGAGATCCAACAACCACCGATTCCACAGTGCCATCAGAGTACTTCAGTCCCAAGGTTACAGGTAGTTTTGAGGGAAGGCCCAGTTTGTTCAGTTGGGTTTCCATGTTGAGTCCTTCTGGTGTGGCCCTTGGTGGATGCCATTTTCCTTTTAAGGTCAGCGTCTAAAGTCATCATAGTACTTAGTCTATGGCATGATTCATCAAGGTTTGGGTAGATACATGTTCGAAGTGTCTACCCAGGAACATAGAACCGAGTTTATTCTCCCCTTAGGTTCCCTACAGTTATTGTTCAGCATCCCTTCCAGATGTGAGATTGCTCCTCCACTTTTACCCACCATAACCACAAAGAGAAATATAAGTGCATGCTCTGAAATGGAGATGCTCCCCTCCCCTGGTCTTAACTTGATTTTCCAGTAAGATTCTCCTCTAATTCCTGTGGAGGGCCTGTTAATTTGTCACAGCCTTGTCTCAATATTCTTGATGGAGTTATTCTAGCCAAAGTGAGTCCCCTCTTTCAAGGTGATTCTTATGAAGTGCACATGAGGTGGGGATGGGGCATGATGTATGGTTCATGGCTGGTAGGCAAACATTCTAGCACTTTGTTTGGAAATCAGTCTCTAAATTTTATTTAACTGGTGTTTATCCTTAGAGTAGTAGACTCATACAATATGTGTCCTTTAGTGATTGACAACCACCGCTCAGCATAATGGCTTCCTGATCCTGCCATTTCTTTGAGTGATTCATCCTTTCGTCACTGTTGTTCAGGGATGCATAATATTCCATTGTGTGTTTGTACCATAGTTTCTTTATGCATTTTTCCACTGTTGTGTATTTGGGCTGCCTCCAGTTTCTTGCTATTGTGAACTATACTACTATAAACAGGGGATATCATATATCCACTCATGTTGTGTCTCTTATTTCTTTGGGGTCTATGCCTAATAGTTGTATTGCTGGATCAAATAGGATTTCAATTCTCAGTTGCTTCAAGTATCACCATATCATTTTCCATAGTGGATGTATGTATTTTTAAGTCCACCAACTGTGTATACCAGTTCCAATCTCTCCACATCCTCTCTAGAATTTGTTGTTTTGTTTTATTTTTTTAATTGGACTAGCATTGTGGGTGTAAGCATTATCTCATTGTGATTTTATTTTGCATATTGCTGATAGCTAGTGATTGTCAGTGTTTTTTGTGTGTTTGTTAGCCATTTGTACTTCATATCTGGTAAACTGTTCATGTCTTTTTCCCATTTCTTAATTGGGTCGTGCATTATTTTCTTATTGGACTATTGTAGAATTCTGTATATTTTGGTAATTAGACCTTTGTCTAATGTTGTTGGTAAAACATTTTCCCCAATCTGTGGGATTTTGTTTCGCTCTCCTGAGTAAGTTTCTTGATGTACATAGTGATGTAATTCAGCATGTCCCAGTCATCTATCTTGTCTTCCACTGTGTATTTAGATGAAAAGCACTGTAAATATCTATCAGGTCAAATTGTCTAATTGTAGTGTTTAGATCTCTAGCCTCCTTGTTGAGTTTCTTTCCCTGTGATTTATCTTTCTCAGAGAGCAGTATATTGAAGTCACCTACTATTATTGTTGAGGCTATGATTCCTTTTTTTAATCTTTTGGAGTGTTTGGTTGACGTATTCTATGGGTCTCTCATTTGGGGAATATATGTTTACAATGTTTAGTGGTTCTTTATCTACCATTCCCTTGAGCATTATATAGTGTCCCTCCTTATCTCTTTTGATGGTTTACACTTTGAGGTCAATTTTATTCAAGATTAAGATTGCAACCCCTGCTTTTTTTGAATTGCTGTTTGCTTGGTATGCCTTTCTCCAGCCTTTGATTCTCAGCCCATTTTTGTCTGTAGCCTTGAGATGTATCTCTTGTAGGCAGCAGATTGCTGGGTTGTGTTTTCTAAGCTAGTCTGCTAGCCTGTCTTTTAAGGCCTGAGTTCAGGCCATTGATATTCAGGGTTATTATCTCAATCAGCGGACTCTGTGATGTCATCTTATTCCTTTTGTGTTGGGTGTTTTCCTACCTTCATTCTTAGTGTGTGTGTGTGTGTGTGTGTGTGTGTGTATCATTCTTGATTTCTTTCCATCCTTAAGCCAATGCTATCTTGGGGTCTGTTTTCTCTTTGTTGCCCTCTGGGTGAGGTTGTTCTATGTGGCAGTCTTTTATTTATGCTTGGTGAGTGTTGTTCTTCTGCCCATACTGGGTCGGCAAGGATCTTTTGTAGGGCTGGGTTTCTTCTAACGTATTCTTTGAGTTTTTCCTTGTCTGGGAAGACTCTTACTTCTCCATTTATCTTGATCTATCATTTGGCTGGATAGAGTATTATTGGGTTTGTGTTGTTTTCCTTCTATTTTTGGAATATGTTACTCCACTCTCTCCTCTTCTTCATTGTTTCTGATGAAAGGCCTGAGCATATTCTTATTTTGGAACCTTTATATGTGATTGCTTGTTTTTCCCTAGCTGCTCTCATGATTTTCTCCTTTTCCTCAAAGTTGGATAGTTTAACTATTATGTGCCTTGGTGACTTCTTTTTGGGATTCAGTCTAGCTGGTGTTCTTTCAGCTTCGTGAATGGTTGCCTGGTTTTCATTCATTAAGCTGGGGAAGTTTTCCTCCAAGAATTCTCTTACCATTGTTGCAGATGACTTCTTTGTTGTGTCGTCCTCCAGTAAGCCAATAATTCTAATGTTGTTCCTCTTCAAAGCATCAGACATGGCTCTTAGGTTTTCTTCAGCTTCTCTGATGGTCTTATTAGATTTTTTGTTCACATTTGTTAAAGTCTGCTTGGCTGTCCTCCAAGTCACTGATGCGGTTCTCTGTTTCCTCCAGTCGATTTTCGAGGTCCGCAAGTCTGCTACTGGTTTTTGTCATCTCTTCCCTAAACTCTTTTATTTACCTTTGGTGTATGGACTTTATCTCCTCTATCATTTCATCCTTTTCCTGTATTGTTTCCCTCGTATCCTGTATGACTCCAGGCAACATTTTGAAAATTTCTTTCTGTGGCAGCTCAATGTCTGCTTCTTCTATGGATGTTGTCATGTTCAGGACATCTTCTGTCATTGCCTTTTGTTTCTTCTGTTTTGTTTTGTTTTGTTTTTTTCATTGAGGTCATTGTGGCTGATGGCTGTTTGCGTTGCATTGTTTTAGAGGAGCCAGGTGCC